AGATACAGCTCAAGTATATATTGCGTGGTTCCAGCAAATAAATCTTGTTGTATATCAGTGCCGCTGTCTGTCTCCTTCTTTTCTTGTCTCTTGTTATTGGCGCTGTTTTATGTGAATACTCATTATCATCTACCTTGATGTTCTGCCGGGACCTTCACATGCATGGTGCTCTGACTTACTTGAAGCTATACTTAAAACTTTGAACACGTTACTCCGGCAAAGTGAACTGGATTAAGCGACTGTTGTGAAGAGTCTTTTGGCATTAATTTTCTTTGTTATTCATTTCAACGCCACTTTCACTCTCGTAGTAAACAGCTTCTCTCATCGTTTCTCTTTCCTCCTCTTTCCAACGACCACGTAGCGGGTAAGAACTTTGATCAGGGCGACCTCTCAGCTTTTTTTTTTTTGTACCCTATAAAATATCTCTTTTTTCAGTGTCTCCGTGGTCCACGTCGTGTTGTTGCAGTTGTTGTGAAGTGTGTTCAACATGAAAGGACATATATACTCGCTTGTGTCGTGTGACATAATTTATGTGCCATAATAGATGGACAGCCGGTTGGGAGTCCCCGCTGCGCTGAGCCGTCATGGCACTATGTTCTAGGGCACCTGCCTTTAATGCGAGAACGATGATATGGACACTCCGGTCAATTTCTGCCGTCACCGTCATGTTTCGGGTATGCATATCTATATTCATATAAATAAAAGCCACAAAAATAATAAATCAGAATGAATGACTAAGTGTAAATTTTCTAAGTGCGCCACGGGGATTCGAACCTATGACCTTCACTTCACAGCTTGCTGCGTTGGGCAGCTCTGCTACGTGCTCTAAAAATTTTAGCACAAAACGACACCCCAAGAAAGAAGACAGAAAGACGAGCCCCGTCTCCTTTCTTGTGGCATTTTTATACACTAAAAAAACCCCTATGAATTAACACCAACTTGCTCACCAACTCATTGTGTGTCATGTGCCACTCGTTCTCTGGAATGCTAATAGCGAGAATTCACCACTGGCAGAATGTAGACTTCGGAGGCGCTTCGGCGTGTTCATTTGCTACCCGCCATATGGCATGAAGGGACGCCTTAAAGGCTAACTACGTCGATTTTTCGAGGTCAATAGATCTCAATGAAATTGACTGGTACGTTCCTTTGCACGCTTGCGTCATTCACGCCAAACTGCAGGTTTGAGAGTTCCGTAGATTCTTTTTCAGTGAATTTTATAGCTTCTTTCCGAACGCTCACCTCGCTTGCCAGAATCAATGGCAACATTATGTGAGTGCGACATTGATTTTTGCGTGGCGGAAGTGACGGAACGGATGTGCCACCGCAGCGTCTGCTTGTGTGCTGTGGATTGTGTGGGTCTGGCCGGCGCTTCCTTGGTAGAGCGTTCGATTTCTTTTTCCGTGTTGGCGGGCGCGCGATGGGTATACCGAGTCGTGTTGTGTTGTGGGCCGCACACGATTCGCCAAATATTCCTCATAATAGCGTAAGTGTTTTAGCCGATCGCCACAGGCACAAACTCAGACGGTCTGCATGGACAAGCGCAGTGCCTTGCATGTGGCGGTGTTATGCGTGACCAGGCAGGTTCGGGCAAAGTACTACGTCATACGTGGAAGTGCACTCGGTTGGGTTTCTGTATTGTGGTTCTTGCTTTTTGAAAAAATTATTTTTGAATTTGTTGAGCATTTCGGCTATCGGGCGCGTGACAAGAGTGTTTCAGGAACATAAAAGCACCTTTACCTTGACATGGTCGAAAAAGCGCTGGAGTTGGCCACGCTCATAGGTTTTGTTTTATTATTCACATCTCTCTCTCTATGTTTAAATATCGAGTGATAAGTCTGTAGTTTCTGTAACAACACAACGTGACGATTATTCCGCTTTACACCGCAGTGACCCGCGGCGCAGTTTTGACCCTCAGGCCGTGAGTGTACATCGTGTGTATTAATAAGCACCTTTTACTGGTCAAAAATAAACCCCTTTTACTGGTCGAAACACTTGTTTCATTTAAGTACCAACAAAGCAGTAGCTATCTTTATATAGTATGTTTCAGCTAACTTGCGCTGAGTATATTCATTTTTTTTATCTTGTGCACTCTAAAGAAAAATTTTATAAAAAAACAGGGCAATCACTTCGTTATAGACGAAATAATGAGACGCCGCTGAACAAAGGTTACAACTTTTCTACTCAATATTTATCATTAGTTACTATATTAAAGGTAACTTAAGTTATCTTTGTTAATTACACGCCTTATGGCAATGGCTGTTATCTAGCATGGATCAAATAGAGCGACGTGTCAGAACATGTGCTACAACTTTTGAAAGGAACATTCTTTTGGTACTAATTAAAAAAAAGCTATTTAAGCAATCTTTGTTACTTACTAAGGTTGGCGGATTGGAAGAGCATCATGATGGCTCATACAATACTTGGCCAATTCCGCGCGCGGAGCGCATATGGCCGCTTTTTTTAGGGGCGAAGCTCCTTATGGTCTAGGGAAGTCCATACCTCCGGCGTAGCCAGCACAGCATATCCACATACATACATACATACATACATACATCATACTACATACATACATACATACATACATACATACATACATACATACATACTACATACATACATACATACATACATACATACATACATACATACATACATACATACATACATACATACATACATACATACATACATACATACCTACATACATACATACATACATACATACATACATACATACATACATACATACATACATACGGACAGATGTGTGGACGGACGGACAGATGGAGGCTTCACCCCACTCATCATCGTTCACTCCGTGAATATGCTGTGATCTTTTTTCATTACTACACATACGTTAATTAAAACGTCCCCTGTATATGTAGATGGTCTCCAAAAAACCGCAGTTGAGGTCCATTTTCCTGTGGAGACAAAAATGAAACTGTATTTACGTAAAGAGGGTAGAGCTTGAAACACGTGAAAGCAAGTTGTAAAACGTTGTGAAACAAATAAAAACATTCATGTCACTTTCACTGAAAACAGAGCCTTTTTTTAAGGAAAAAGAATGTCGCTTTACATGTCGGCAATATCACGTTTCAAATCGCTAAAAGCGTAAGCGTCGTAAACGTGCACTTAGTAAAATTGGCTGTTGTTGCTGTTGTTAACACGTCTTTATTCACATTTTATGCCCTTTGAGGGATGCGGTGACTCTAAAGGGAGAGACGGGATTAACTAAAAGAAAAAAAAAGGAGAGGCACAAAAATGCACTCCTAATTATCCTCTTGCGAGCCGACGTTCTGCCTGTCACGCTGAAGACTGAGCCTGGGGCCAACGGCTGGAGCCTTGGGATCGTCCAGGTACTCGAGCAGCGACCACCATAGCTCGTTGGCTGCGGCGCCGGTGATGCGAATGAAGTCGGGCGCCATTCCAGTGAGATTGTGGCGATGACCCGTTGCCTGGTTCCAGAGAGCAGTGGGTAGTGCCAGATGAGGTGCGCTGAAAATATATTGCTGCGCCTACGCGTCGTTGCTCTACGGAACGCGACAACGTGTGGTTCACGAGAAAGTAAAAAAAAAAGACAGACACATGCAACGGAAAAATATTCGTTGCCAGGAAGATTGGTAACGCTATGGCTGTACTTAACTGACGACTCCTTTCGCCGAAATGACAGAATTGAGGAACAGGACGACTTATTGTCTGCTGGAACAAAATGTTTCGCGAAACTCGGAGTACACGTTAGCTCATCGATCCGGTTTGGTAAATGGCTCTCTCAACTTCGGTAAGCAGCCCTCTCTGATGAATATGGTACGATGGCATAGCAGTCAGTCGACGAGTGTACACACGAGTTCGTATAAAAAAATGAAAGAACATCAAGCATGACGATGAAATCGGAACTCTGACTCTTATTTCATGATTTGTCTGAGGGTTTGGCTCAGTGATCAATGGTACTATGGTGATTGAAACTTTGAAAGAAACGCGCACAGTGTGGCATCTACATTCGCGGCTGTTTTAAGGGGACGTCATTAACTAGCTCGTTTTGCACCAATCCCGGCATCGGCGTCGATGTTGGTGTCGGCGTCGGCGTCGTTGGTTGTGAGCGAAAAATTGTCATCCTGTGCGTGAACGAAAAATCGAGAAAGACGCAAATAAAATAAATAATAAACTTTCCGGGTTCGAGTGAAGATAGAACCGAGGTCGTTTGCGTGGCAAGCAGCTGGTCCACCACGAAGCCATGCATCTGCCCTTTTTCCCCCCTTTAAAGCGTGGGTCCAATACCAGTAATTGCTGTGAACTACGCACAGCATAATTCGTCATATTAGAATTACCTTGAATTTCACAACACGTGCATTGTTAACAGTAGAGAATATTTTAGTAGTCAGGCAAACACACAAACGTCCAGAAGGTGAAAGCCACTTCGGAACGGGGTCAAAGGTCTCAACGGCACTGTGCACTTGAGCAGCTTCTTATCGGAAGACAGACTTCGTCAACCGTGGTGGCTTGGCGTGTCTGTCAATCATGAGACTTTTATCCTCGACTTTTGTCCTGTTTTCCCTGCAAGCCTAAAGCATTCAGTGTCTAGAGGCGTCCAGAGAAGAGTTGTGGAGGTGATGAACAAATGAAGGGAGGGGAGGTTAATTAAAACGGAACCAGGTTGGGTATACCCTGCCCCGTGGAAGGAAAATGGGGAGCGAAGTTTCGAGAGAAGTGTGAAGACGTAACAGAGGGAAAAAGGTGATGTTCCACTTGTACTATGGTATACTTGAAAGCCTTCGTCAGTCCGTGTACAGCGGCATCACCTTAAGCTCTCCCAGCCTTTCGATGGTCTCCTTCTCTCTTTCTTCTCACAAAGAACCTACGACGGCGTCGACAATATAGAGTTACAAGCCATGCTCGTGCACACTGTTGGGCACTGCTCCGTGTCGCCTGTAGGCAGACAGAAATTAGGTGCCTTCTTCCTTTTCCTCATGAACCACTAACAACACTGTTGCGGGTACCAGGTGAGGGACGTCCCATACGGGCTGCAGTTCTGTAGCCGTGACGGCGGCGGTCACCGCGCCAGTCCCTTGAGACTGTTGCGAGTGAGCGTGGCCTCGTGGGCGTGCATCATCTCCGAGATGTGGTGACCGACGGCGTGCGCCTTGTGCCGCTCATCGTCCAGCACGGGCCGGTCGTCCAGGAACACGAGCATCGGGAAATGCGCAATCACGTACAGCCTGCGAAAGCGTACGCATCGCTGTCATCACGGACACTGTAACAACTTTAGACGGTGTTTATTTATTTATTTATTTATTTATTTATTTATTTATTTATTTATTTATTTATACTGTCAACCCTCGCTTGAGGGTCATAGCAGGGAGGGAGTACAATAGTTAGTACAAAGAGAAAACCAAAACAACTGGTACTCAAGGGACTGGCACTCAAGGGTTTGAATTTTGTACTTATGAAAGAGAGAAAAAACGCAAAGAAAAAAAAACAAGTTTGCGTATGTTCGTTAAAACTAAAACAATTTCGTTAGCAATAATAGAGCCCTCTAACCCCGCTCCCCCCAACCACCACGATCTCCCATTAATCTGGCAACGCCCACTATAGAAAAATGTTAAATAGTAGAGAGAGTTCGAAAGCCTGCCACAGTCCTCACAGTCGAATATACTGCAGCGCAGGATCGTGTACCATCCCGTGAACACCAGCAGAGGCTAAAGATGTCTTCGAGGATGTAACCATCTGCTGCGGCTGCAGGAGTTATCAATTGTAGTTACAAATTGCTCGTGACTCCAGACTCAACAGGGAAAAGGAAAATATATCATTATTTAGACTTTGGCGTGCTGCTCCTGAAATACTTTTATGTCCTGGTCGCATGAGAGGCCCTCTTTACTTCCAATTTCACAATAAAGAAGTTTTTTTATGCGTGCAAACTTCGATTGCTTTGATGACGTATGCATACGTTCGTACATTTACTCTTACTGAGATGCCTGTTTAGTTTTCATTTATTCTCCATTCAATTTTTCTCTGGTATCCACCGTATAACTGCCACTCTTGCCCAAACAGAGATGGTTTCTGTTGTGCACGACAACAACGGCGGAAATAGAAATTTACTAAACCACCCCTTGCTATTCCGTAGTGGCCTGGTGTACACTGTAGTTAATATTTAAATATTGTGTCTTTACATTTTCATACTTCAATGTTGGTCGAAGAGGGAAAGACGAGCCCTTAAATTTCCACTTCCCTTCTTGTTTGTTCTTCCATTTTTATTCTACAGGAAATACACGTCTGTCTCAGCAGTGTTTTACAACACGTGCAGTTAGAATAAACTGCGACAAGCCATGACCATGTCATTGGGGTTTAAAATGCTTAATTGGTGGTTGATGCATTGGTACTTAGCAATTAAGCTTTGATTGATTGAAATGTAGGGTTCAACGTCCCAAAACCACCATATGATTAAGAGAGACGCCGTAGTGGAGGGCTCCGGAAATTTCGACCACCTGGGATTCTTTAACGTGCACCCAAATCTGAGCAAACGGGCCTACAACATTTTCATTTCCACCGAAAATGCAGCCGCCGCAGGCGGGATTCGATCCCGCGACCTGCGGGTCAGCAGCCGAGTACCTTAGCCACTAGACCACCGCGGCGGGGTCGAAATAAGCTCTGCAGTGTAGCACCTAGAATAGGTAACAATTTAGCAGATGCGAAACCAATGTTTTTGGTCATTGATCTTCAATTGACACAAACCCGGCGTAGCTGCAGGTGATCATGACGTTGACGTCAATTATGCAAGCGCTGTAATATCTTTTAGCTTGGGGAAGGAGAATACCCCAGCCTAACCCTCACGCTTACGAACATTATCTCTCCAGTCAAAGAGGCAATCAATGAGTGAATCATCTCGTCACTATTGTCTTTGCTGTTGGTACAGCTCGCCGCACTTACCCTTCTGTTTAAGATAAGGCAAACAGATAGGATAACACAGGTCATCTATTGTTCGTTCATCGCGCCATATTCAATGTAGTTAGAGTGATTACAGCTGCGTGCAGATATGATTGTCTCGAGACGTGTGGATGGCTTACGCCACAAGCATTTTATTTGTATAACGATCATTTCCACGGTTGTTCCGAGTTGAAAATCCCGACTGTGTCAAATTAATGCAATAGAACATTCTTTTTTTTTTGTTGGTATCTTTTTTTTTTCTTCCTAGTTGACTCATAAAGATGCATAGGTAAGGGTTGTAACAGAGAAGTTTCTGTGATATTACAGTAATTGGTCACCACTTTTCAGCGGGACCCCTGGAAACAGCGTTCAATATGAAAGCATGGGAACGTTTCAATTATCGTCGGCATTATTAACCACCACTGCTGATAACACAGAAGGCACCTCAGTGGAGGGAAGGTGATCAACCCCCATCTATTCGCATCTCCAATAAATATGCGCGTTTTTTTTTTTCTATACAGTATCTGTTTCCGTCTATCCACTCCTTTCATTGACCCACTTTGTATGCCTATGCCTTACTTGCTTTGCATGTTTTGGTTTTTTTTTTCAGTATCTGCACTTCTGTTGCAGTGTTCGATAAGTGTTTCCTTTCACTTGTAGTGCTTCTTGTAGAAGCGCAGCAAGAAATTTATTTCCGGAGGGGGGGGGGGGTGTACAATTATGCTTTATATGAGTAGTTCGTGCTTGCGTTTGTGTAGACTAATTTCTGTAAGACATATATGAGCAACGCGATCTTGGGCTTGTAAGCTGATGTTTTCTTGATTTTGCATATCGTGACCTGAACTAATAAGGCTAGGAAACATGACCTGCACTAACCCAATCGTTTTCCCACTTATCCGTCTATACCGCGGCACTGTTTGTTTAGTTGCTAAAGAGGCAAGACACAAAGGCTAACAACCTGATATGACGGCACTGAAACCCATCCGTAAAATAGTTTGTATCAGCGTGGGCGCATTACGGGCAGTAAGGGTACACTGACACAAGCAAGCTCTTGGCTACGCCAGTGGTTCTTTGTGCCTGCGTTCGTGAAGTACCTTGTTATGATAAACAAGCAACTATAGCTCGAGATATGCAAAGTCAGAACCCACCATATCAAGCTTAGAGTTGCTCATAGCGAGTACATGCGTAACGCGCACCGATTTACGGTATAGGAAGCAGTCGCCAGGTGATTCTTGTATTTAAGTGTCTTAACGGTACCATAACAGTGAACGTTTTAGAGAAATTTCAATTGTTAAACTCTAATCCTACCAGGTTTGCCTCAAACAACAACTTTTTACTACCACATGCACGCACTAACTACGGCAAGCATACTACCACATTTGCAGCTATCCAATTTTGGAATTCAGTACCACTAAGCACTAAACAATTGTCATTAGCTGATTTTAAAAAAGAGCTTAAACATCTCATCTCGCAATCATGACTCATATTCATTTTTATATCGGCGTTCTCTTACATTTACAGCTATTACTGTGTGCGTTATTTTCACATTTATTACCCATGCACATTGGAGTTCTTTTAATAGCTGTATATCATTAATTAACGTCATTTCGTTCCCAATTCTACTGCCATTTTTATTGTATGTTTCGTTGTTTTCATAGTTATGCACAATTACTGAACATTGTTTTGTTACCATTTTTACTGGCATGTTTTATTGCATGTTTGCGTTGTTTTTGTTACTATCAATAATTACTTAATCGCTTTTTGTTGCCATTTTGTTGTACTTATCAACATGTCATTTTCTAACAGGAGGTCCCCTTTCAGCCTTGTGCTATGGGACCTCCTTCTGTATATACTACCCCAATGCGTGTATATTTTTTTGCGACAAATAAAGATTTGATTTGATTTGATTTTGATTTGAGGCACACGCGCACCTGTAGTTTGCGTTCTGTTCGGCCGTGCCATTGTTGAGGAAGGAAGGCGCCAGCTCGTTCCCCATCAGGCTGAGCACGCGCAGCTGTGGGCAGCTCCGGGACAGGCCGGGCACGAACACCGTCAGGCTGAGCAGCCGGTTGTAGTTGAGCCAGAGCACCTGGAGCGTCGGCAGCATCGGCACCACGCTCAGGCAGCTCAGGCAGTTGTGGTCAAGAATCACCGTGTGCAGCCGCTCGAAGTGGGACAGGAAGCGGACGTCCCTGCGGGGGAAACAGCCGCGGCTTTCACCGGTTCGTATAATTGATTTGTGGCGTTTAACGTCCCAAAACCACCATATGATTATGAGAGACGCCGTAGTGGAGGGCTCCGGAAATTTTGACCACCGGGGTTCTTAACGTGCACCCAAATCTGAGTACACGGGCCTACAACATTTCCGCCTCCATCGTAAATGCAGCCACACAGCCGGGATTGATCCCGCCACCTGCGGGTCAGCAGCCGAGTCCTTAGCACTAGACTGGTCGTATAAGGAAAGAAGTAGAAATCTAAAAGCAGTGTTTTTTTGTGTTAGTGCAACAAAAACTAGCCTTTTTTTTTTAATGCGAAGCATTACTTAGCGAATATCTATCTATCTATCTATCTATCTATCTATCTATCTATCGTCATCTATCTATCTATCTATCTAATCTATCTATCTATTATAATCTATCTATCTATCTATCTATCTATCTATTATCTATCTATCTATCTATCTATCTATCTATCTATCTATCTATCTATCTATCTATCTATCTATCTATCTATCTATCTATCTATCTATCTCTATCTATCTATCTATCTATCTATATCTATCTATCTATCTATCTAGCCGCCTACGGCTTTTAGCTCTCCTGGACGTTTCGATAACGATATCAATACCAAACCGTGTATGCTACGACATGACGGTATGAAGAACTTATTTGACTAGTCATAACATGAAAATCATGACTTGTGTGTCATGAAATTTCATTATTTACATTTGACGGTCCTGCAGCTCTTGCGGTGGTTTCGTTCACATGGCATGTTGCAAAACTAATATGGTATGACATCATTGCATACCAAACATAAGCGACCAACCCTAACATGAAAATCATGACATGCGTGTCATGTAAGAACATGACAACATGCCACGATCATGATGAGCTCACGGCCGTTTCGCTAGCGTTACATATACCAAATTTGGTATTACGGTACGTGAATGGATGACAAAGGTATGTGACTAACCCAAACATGACAACCACGAGATGCGTGTCATGTAACAACATGACTACATGCCACGCTCACGATGCGCTGGTGGCCATTCGCTAGCTTCACTTATACCAAATTTGGTACTACGGGACGTGAATAGATGACGAAGGTATGATACTGGTACAAACATGATAAACATGAGATGCGCGTCATGTAACAACATGACTGCATGCTACGCTCATGATGCGCTCGCGGCCGTCTCGCTAGCTTCACATATGCCCAATTTAGTATTACGTGACGCCGATGAATGACGAAGGTATGTGACTGGTGCAAACATGATAATTATGAGATACGTGTCATGTGAGAACATGACTAGAAGCCACAGCCAAGGCGCCAATACATTTCAACGTGACGAGGTGCGCGTGCTCGCCGGCGTTCATTTCGTCACGTCACGCCGGCGTTGCCACGCTAGGCACCGGTCCTGCCATATACTCGCAGGCGCTCGCCGCACTGCGTTGCTTTGACGCATGCGCGTTTCAGCGTGTCCGGCGTCCCTCCCTCACGAAAAGACCGAGACGCAGTGTTTTCTGGGTAACGCATCGGCGCGAAATGCGGCATGTCGCATTTGGCGCCGGTTACCGTCGGGCCGCGCCGGCGGACGCTGGTCGCGCCTGGCGTCAAACTATAGAGTGCTCGCGTTCTGGTGACGTAGCGTCGCTGTGCCCAGCGTGCGCGCGCGTCAACGCTACATAGGAGTATAATGATCCCTTCACGATGCACTCGCGGCCGTTTTGCTTGCTCCACATATACCAAATTTGGTGTTATGTGATGTCAACGGATGATGAAATATATGACGGGTGCAAACATGATAATCGTGACACGCGTGTCATGTAAGAATATGAGAACATACCACGCTCATAGCGTGTTCGCAGCCGTTTCGATAGCTCCACATATACGAAATTTGGTATCACGTGACGTGAATAGATCACGAAGGTAAACCACACATCCAGACATGATAATCATGACACGGAAGCCATGTACGGCATCATTTACCTCCACCTCATAACATTGTGCTGATTTTACAGTGACATATCACCATTTCTCATTCGTGCTTCGCATATTATCGATTCTCACTGTACGTGGGATCTGACAATTTTTCTTTGTTACTAACCAAGAAAAACAAACCCTGAGACTTCAACTTCATAGCAAGGCTTGGCGTTTCGGCGGAAGTGAAACGCTGAAGGCTCGCGTACTGTTCTATGCGAGTATACGATAAATAACACTGCATGGTGATAAATTATGGAGCCCTCTCCTATAGTGTGCCTCGTAATCATATCTTGGTTATCACTCACAAGACCAGCTAGAAATAAATGGGCAGTAATATATGCTTCTCGTAGAATTGTCCCTATAAATGTGGCCGTCAAATGTTAATGCGTTCTAGTAAGTTCTGGTATAAATCATATAGAAGCCTTTCCACCATGGCACTGCACGATACCATAGCCGCCTTTGAAAGCACACGCGCGGTTCTCACGTCACTGAACGTCAGTACATTGCCACCATCTAGACGTTGTCAAAATGTCTTGGCGAACGCAAAAAAAAAAAAAAAATAGAACGTTTATTGACAAGCATTATCCACAAACGGCGAACTGGGCAGAACGTGTATTCAAGTGAAGCTACAGAATTGCTGATAGAATATCAAAGTGCCACTAGAAGCACCAATAGAACGTGACAGCAAAGCACATACATGAATACGTCTTTGTTCATCGGAGTGACGCGGACAATAAGCCAATTAGCGACTGACATCCATATTCGAGTGCGTTCTCCGTGGTACCGCCATGCCACCTTTTTCACAAACAGCTGCCTGCCTGGCACCGCATACCCATCACTGCTAGAGTTACCATATGCTACTTCATTTCCACGTAGGACTCAACGTCTTTAACAAGCTCCGACCAGCTATGAGAAGCTTGTTATTGCTCCCATCAGCTTCCTCCAAGAGCTTACATGATGCTGCTCCCATCATGTAGTAACACGCCACTTGTAAATAATGTAAATGAACGTTATACTGCTAACAGCTCCGGGCTACTCTCCTCGACATCTCCCCGAGACTCTGGCAGACCACCGGTTACCGGCCGGGCAGACCCCCGGTTACATCACTAATGAGCTGCAGCGAGCACTGAATGAAAAACAGAGCTACTGATTGCAATGGAATAGCAGCACTTGCTTCGAAAATAATTATTTCACGCACACAAAGGAAGTGCGCGGACCAGATATATGAGGTCGCAAGGCTGCTTGCAATAACTCAACGGAAACATGCGACAACGAGGAATTACCGGTATAGGTGCTAATGGGCAGGATCATTTAGTTTGTGCGTAAACGAGCCATCTGATATATGGTAATAGCATACGAACGGACCGGGAAGATGTAAGCTCAGCCTGCTGCTGGAATGGAAATGATTTCCATGTACCGTCGTTGTAGTTGGGATGTGCGACATTGCGGACCTCATGAACGGGAACCGTTATTCTGACATGTGGTGCGCTGAATGATGCATGATCGATACCGGAACAGTCTCACGATTGCCTGGCCATGTGGTTAGTGTAGTGCGTCGACGATTCCTTTTATGCGACACAATACGCGGCGAATAGCATTCGCTTATTTTCTGTCTTTTTCAGGGGCGTAGCCAGGGTGTAGCACAGCAAGCCCGTGACCCCCCCCCCCCCCCCCTACCCCGAAAAATTTTTCGCCATGGCATAGAGAGTGGATAATGACCGTTTTAAGGGGTGCCTTCCCCATAATGACGCAGGTGCCTTCTCCTCCCCTCCCGAAAACAATTTTGGATATGGCCCTGGTCTCTTCTCATCCACGTTGTATAGTTATCCTCGTTGGACGACGCGTGATAGATAGATAGATAGATAGATAGATAGATCGATAGATAGATAGATAGATAGATAGATAGATAGATAGATAGATAGATAGATAGATAGATAGATAGATAGATAGATAGATAGATAGATAGATAGATAGATAGATAGATAGATAGATAGAAAATCTCTTACGCGGGATCCTGCGAAACCATAGTACAGATGGAATCTCCATGTTTACGAGCTCTATTCAATGCTTCACCTCCACTACACTTCAAGCTATGCATGGCTCATTAAAAATACATCAATCGCGATACGCACGGAATAATAGGCCACAGTCCAGTGGTCATCAAGGGAAGCGAAAGGGTTGTTTGCATGGCGCGTGATTATGCTACTTTGAAGGACGGTCAAAAGAATAATACTTGCCTTTGTCCAGTGCCCTGTATGGGCACGCGCGTGATGGTTATCTCGGGTAGTTCATTGTCTCGCGAATATCTGTCGCTGGCCGCTAAGGCAGCGTTCTTTACGACCGGTTACGCGCCGTGCTAATGCATATAGGCAGCCTCACTTTGTTGGAGATAAACATAAACCCCGACTAGGGTACGCTTGCACAAGCGAGCTCCTTGTTTTGCTAACCGTGGCGATTATTCATGCGGAGTCGGTACCGAAAGGGCACCATTGCAAGGGATTGCGGGATATGTCTTTAAAGATGAATGTTGACCTTCATTTTGAAATTAAACAACGCACACAAATTCTTGCGTACCAATCCATTATATCTTAAACGGTGCTCTATAGAACGGGGTTCCTTTGTGAACGTGTGAACTTCGCAAGAGGAATTCGTGGCGTAGCACATATACAGGATTTCCTCACGTCACCTCTGCATGAAATACCAAAAGGTTGCGACGCACAGTTTCCATCTTGTTACATAACATGAGTGTTTTTAGATACACACGTGCTTGTTATTCACATATACTCCTAATGTAAAAGCGAATGAAGCGAAATTATCGTTGGACAACTTAAACTCGTCAACATAAGGTTCGCACCAATGTCGCTGAATCGAAACTGCATGATTGAGTTCAACTTCTCATTGTTCACCCATGAGACGTACAGACGACGCAGGTGTTTATTCATTCTGCAGAATTTGCAACAGACCTCAGCGTTTACGAAACAAGAGGACCTCTTCATAAGTCATAAATCCTGCTGCACTCTCTCATCACATATGCCATTTTTTTCGTCATATATGCGAAAATATACGCGGCGTTACAAATCGATAGCCATGATTAAGTAAGGAAACGGGGATGCTCAGGCTTACGTAAGTCGGTTGTGACTCAGATCCAGCACCTCCACGTCGGACGTGTACTTCTCGATCGAGGCTGTACGGCACGGTCGTCAGTTCCTCGTACGCCAGGCTCAGCTGTTTCCTTTTATGGCTGCCCAGGCCCGCTGCCACCACTGCGGCTGGCTCGGGTTGTGTCGTCTGGCCGTGCCGCCTCTGCGCTGTCCTGGGTGATGCCTGCGCTGCGCACATAGTTCCTTGCCCTGCACCAGACTCCGTCAGCTGCCTGTATAAGTCCTCCTTGCCGGCTTCAATGAACCTCTTTGAAGTTCACTGCCCTCAATCACAGCTGCAGCTCTATATACGGGATCAGATCAGCACGCCAGTTTCGGCTTTGGCCACTTCGTCGAAGCCTGCAGCGTCGGGTGCGCTTTCTTTCTTGCTAACTAAAGCGATTGGGCTTGGAACCGAACGACGAAAGAGATGGACAAAGGGCGTTGAAATCCCAGCGATCATGAACGCCGCACGATGTGTTTTGGAACGAGATACGCAGACCCAGATAAGGGACGGGGCTCGCCTCCGATAAGGCGGGCTCTGCATGCGGGGCATTTTGTTATCAGCTGGTTTGCGATTGAGAGGTTTGTCGGAAGCCGGGCCAATAGATCGCGTTGTCGCGGAACACTCCAAGAGAGTATACTTCGGCTACGCTTCTCCTTTGATGCGGATGCGCTGTACAAACAAGTGGCACACACTCCAGTGCTGGTCCATACACTTCTGGCCACAGCTGTCTGTGCGACCCTGGCACGAGGTACAGGTCCCGCAGACCCGCCCATTTAATCTCCTCGTTGCCGACACGGCCGCAGGCGTCTATTCGAGGTGCTTGAGTAAGTGCCACTCAATGCCTTTGACGGGATAACAAATCAGACACGACGACGTCTTTCAATTCAAATCTGCACATTGAATATTGTAGCCAGCGGAAACGCTATACACACACAGTGATTGTACTGGGATAAGACAGGGCTTGAAAGCTTGCCTGAGGACAAGCCATTGATAAGTCATCGACCGCACTAGCTTGTGCAACCTATTGCACACCGCAGTGAATCATGTGTGAATGTCGTCGGTTCATGAAGAGCTATAGTGAGTGTGAATAGAGCTCACCTTGTTAAAGTGATTGTAACTGAAGTTTATATTTCAAAGCATCCATTTTACTTTTGTTTCGTTAGGTACATCGCCACCCCCCACTCATTCCTTAAAAACAGTCAGTTTTTTTTTTCTTTTCAGTCACCATTACACAAAATGCTCATATATTTCCGCTTCCTGAGTTTACTCACAGTGGCATTGTCCTCCACCCGTGGCCATAATTATCAGTGTCTTTGTGGTATGCTCACTCTCTCTCACCTTTTTCCTTATCATGAGTGTATAGATAGCAAAGTGGACGCTGGTTTGGTTCACCCCTGCCTTTCTTATCCTCGATTTTCTCTGTCTCGGGTTGGCAGCCCAACGCACCAAGTGTGAGCCACCAGCACGGCGATTTAATTGAGCGACAGCTCTTTTATTCCCGAGTCTAGACTTCTTGTCATTCTTTAAGTTAACAGGATGATGGCAGGTACTATTTCAGTCTCACTTGCAAAAGTGGATGCTACAAGAGAGCTTATTTTGCTTGCGTGCTCAATCACAATCTTTCCGGAGATATCCGAATTCATCTAGTGGACACCTTCAGATATCTCTTAAGGCCTCATCAGACCCTGGCCTTCAATAACGAGGCGTGCTGTACACAAACTCGCCGAACCTTTAAAAAAAATCTGGTCTATAGCCAGAATTAAACCCAGGCAAGTGGCACTAAAAGCGTCTACCACAGAGTTGCGCCATTACTTGAAGCTTCGTTGAAAAATCCCCAATCACGCAGTCATGTCGGGCAAGGAGTCACGTTAACAGGCATAACGTTTCGTAAAAAATAAAAAAAATAAAACACCTAGAATCGCAGCGGGTGGGTGATTGAGAGCTGCCAATACATTGGAAAAGGCTGAGCTACAAGTCATCATCGTCATCATAAGCCACAGGCATCTACAAAGTGTGCAGTTACTACCCTGACCTCTTAAGCTCCGATGATGATGATGATGATGATGATGATGATCATCATCATCATCGTCGTCGTATTGCCACACCGGATAGCCTCCAGACTTCGTGTCATCCTAGATGAATTGCTTAGGAACCCTATGAGGTTTTTTTTTTTTTTTTTCGCAAGTCCAAGTGCCAATGAGCCTCTCCCGCGTGGGCGCCACAAAGCTTCTACACCAGGGATGTGATGTGCGGCTTCTTCGCAACATATCTCCAGTAGGTTTCCTTGTAGCGCACATATAAGACAGCACAAGTTTATACGCACCTACACACAGAAGGCTCCACCTTCCAATAATGGTTTATCGAATCCCGGCTGCAGCGGCTGCATTTTTGATGGAGGCGAAAAATGCTGTAGGCCCGTGTGCTCAGATTTGGGTGCACGTTAAGGTACCCCAGGTGGTCGAAATCTCCGGAGCCCTCCACTACGATGTCTCTCATAATCATAAGGTGGTTTTGGGACGTTAAACCCCGCATATCAATCAAGAATGGTTTATTTTCGGAAATACGCTTGCGCACTCGCCTCACGAGTCCGAAAATAAACCGTTGTTAAAGGTTATCCAGCCCCCCCCCCCCCCCGCATGTATACGCGTGCCTATACACTTGTCCTGTAATTTATGTGCGTTATACAAGAAAATATTCCATAAAGGGCTGCGACTTCGCGCGGCATCGACACCCGCGCATTATTTGGGAATGGCTAGTGCATCAATGGGCGGTGCATGAGAGTATGGAGAGATAACGAATGCTTCTTGTGTAAGTAGGGAGGAGGAGGGGGGGGGGATGGTTTTAAAGTAGCAGAAAAGCAGAGAAAAGTGAGCCCCGCAACTGTCTGCAGCTAAGTGCGACACCTCATCAGTAGCTCTCGAGAAAATGAGATAAAAAAAAAGATGGACAGATATTTACTTCCCTCTCTATATGCATAGAGAGAGAAGTAAAGATTGAAATCAACAGAGGGGGACACGATCTAAAGAGTCGGAGGATGGGGCACCGTTCGGAGAGAACTACACGGTGTCAGGAGATCGTGGTCGACCCAACCGTTCAGCATGGAACCCACCAGGCGAGTGCAGAGTTCCTTATATGTGTGCGTGTGTGTGTTGCATGTGCGCGCGTGGCCAGAACGCTGGTTGTCTACTGCTTCCCTCACAACACTCTGTGTCATTTTAGTACGGTGGTCCTCACAATTAAACTGCTAAGTATGTGGTATGCGTATGTCGTACGCACAAGCTGCTGCTAGTCCATTTCTTAGCGCACACACACACACACACACACACACACCATAGGCAGCTCCGCACTATAGTCAGCCCCACTTCTCTTTCCCATCCTTGATTCCGTTCCCCCTTGATACATACCTACCACACGTGAAATGCTATTCTTCATTCTCTACTCTCCTCTTTTCTCTCCTCTCCACTTTCAATCCCATTCTTCCGCTGCCTCGCGTACCACACATTGCACGGCTAGCTATATGAAAGGGAAAATAGAAAAACGCCCGCTTGGGGCTCGAAGCCACGGGGAAATCCGTACGGATTTCCTCTCTCTTTCATTGATTCCGTACATTTCTCTTTTTCTCGTTCTGTCTTGCTTTATGTTTCACTATCTTTGTTTGTGTCTATTTTTTTCTGTCTCTTTCTCACTGTCCATTCCTTCTTCTGCGTTTGTTCTCTCTCTTCTCTCTTTCTCTCTCTCTCTCTCTCTCTCTCTCTCTCTCTCTCAGCACTCGTTCTCTCAAGTTATCGCGTCTCACACCGGACAAACCGGCGCACTTGTTCTGCGAGAACATAAACAAGATGACCAAGAGAGGGCGCAGTTCATGATGATGATAGTTTTGTTCTCCACTAACCTCGTCTCTTCAAAGAGCCTAGCTCTTAAAAACGAGCCTTGGAATTTTCGGGTAGGTGCTATGATACATGAGGACCTAGTGGATGTGTAGAAAACTATTCAATTCGAATAGAATGCTACAGCATTATGTGATTCCTTTATTCCAAAGCTCGGAATATTTTCCTACCCCACGTTTATCGTACCGTTTTTATGGGAACCCTTCAACGCCATATGCTTTCGTCGCCTGAAAAGCAAAGTAGTAACATTCATAGAAAGAACACGGTACAGAATAGAGTCCCAAGTGCGTAGTACTTTGTGAGAGCTTTGACAAACACAACACCATAACTGATATCGCATTGTTGCATCTTCATCTTCGAATATTGATGTATGGAAAGAAACCATACAGCCAACAACCAACAAACCATACCTACTGGAGCTTCCTTTTGGCTGTTCTACAAATTTTAAATTAGCAATTCGAGAGGCTTGCGCCGAGTTTGCGAGTTTTGAGCTTCTGTGTTTAAGCCATTTGTCCAAAACATGTTTTTTTTTTTCGGCTATGAAACCACAGCTCATCTGCCTCTGATAAGCCGATGCCAGGAATTCATACACATCCCCTGGACACTCCCCAAAACAATTACCCCCCCCTCTAAAATTTCTCTCCTAAGTACAGTCGCTGAATCAAAATTCTGAATAAACACTTGGTCGATGCTTGGTACGGGTGGAGACACGGCGGATTTCGTGGCTGACGGTATACCGGCCTTCGACGACTGCTCGTCCGCGGTCTTCTCTGTCTGCCAATATTTACTTTTTTTTCGAAGTCTTTATTATCATCCTTATTCCCTCCCTTGCGAACTACTGATGAAGTGCCACACTTCGGTAAAGGCAGTTGCGTGGTTCACTTTTCTCTTCATTCCCTCTCTTACCCCCCCCCCCCCTTATTTATGAGTTCTTACATTCACTATTGTGAGACACGTACTGCCACCTACCGCCGCTAAAAGAGCTTCAGTCGTTTTGGCGCGCAAATTCAATATGCACAGGCACCTAACATGCCCTCCAGCTTGACTACGGTAAAGTATACTATAACTGAAGAAAACTGCCGTCACGTGAAAGTATTTCTCTTTTTCCTCCGTGAACGTGCAATGTGAGCAATTGCGAACTACGCACGTTACACAATGCCACGTATCCCTCCATAGACTCCTCGATTCCGCGAAAGGATGACTTGACAAAGTAGGAAAACGTTCAGACAAGGTAGAAATTGGTCTTGAGCGATCATGTCTGCAGTACGTAAATCTTAAACTTTCTCTTAATACTTTGCATAAAATGTAAATGTAGAAATTGTGCGAAAACGTTGTGAAGACTTATCTTGAATTAGCGCGCCTAAGGCGGGCCGTGCCTCGGCGTGCTCGTACCTATGGCAACCGCGATATGTTTGGCACCTCAAACGGAGATGGCGCCACAGAGCACGCGACTGCATCTACCGCCTGCTCCTGCCGCGACGCGCGACGCCGGGACATTCGGCCCCACGAACATAATAAGCTTGTTAGCCGACTCTGCGTCAGTCATGTAGCGGTGTAATATATAGAGGCCAGGGTAAGTCTCGACTGCAATCGTTCCCTAGCGGTATGTCAGCGCTACAACCAGTCTCGCATATCCGCGTAACGTTACTGACGTCGCCGTCGTGGAAAAGAGACGTCCCGTCGCTGGAGTTTTCCTAATTGGGTAGTAGTTTCGATCGGCCCGTAGAGTACAATGTGACTCTAAGGGTATCGGGGACTGATTGGTCATCAGACGGTTCCCGCCTCTCCACTGGACCTATCAGCACCCTGACTCGTAGCATGACGGAGTAGTTTTCAACCGGCAGCCAGTGCCATCAGCTGCAGCACTCGCGCGGCACGACGCGACGCTCGATTGCTCCGGGACACGCGGTAAGTTCTTGTTTTACTTACGTGTTTTCCGCTGCGCCGTCTCATTCTCAGCGAGCGTTGAACTCTTCTCTTGAGGCACTGCCGCCTCGCGTTGCTTTCCGCTCAATTGCCGCGACCGAACGGGGCCACGTTTTGGTGATTCTCGTTCAAGTTTGTTGGACGTCGTAGTTGTACACTTCCGGATAAAAATGGTTGACTATCGCGGACAGTTTGAACGTCGGCACTGTCAACTGCGATAGCGTCCGCCCAAAAGCGGGGGTGATAAAGTACACGTTCACAATTTTTTTTCCCATCGCTTCTTCCCTCATCAAAAGGAGCTGCGGCGGTGCAGGTGCGTTATGAGACGCTAGCCGTGGAAATCCCACGTTATTGATCTGTACGCCGTGAGCCACGCTTTGTGTCCGGTGCGTACGTGCTCCCTGTGGTACGTCGATTTTTTTGTGATGTTGGATGTCCGTGAACTGGAAGACGTTTCAGGTTGTTGTAGAAATCGCAGGGAAGTATCTATACACGAATTGATCGTAAGTTATTTTCGTAAATATGTAAGCTCTAATTCCGCCGCTTCGGACTACCTGTGCACCGGAACATTTTGTCTGCACCATTGAACTCTGTTTTACACTCGTCGAATTGTGTGTCTTTGTACATAAGTCGCTAAATTAATTTCGTGGGGCTTCTCACTGCCACAAGCGTAGTTAGGATGCTCAGTCTGTGTTATTTTTTTGTTTCTTCTCTGTCTCTCTCTCATGGTCGTATTCACTCATCGTAATGCATGTAACAAGGCAACTGACTCACCCTTGAGCTTCTCGTACAAAGGGTGCATTAATGCCTTTCATGGTTTGTTTCATTTTGTTCAGTCTACCGCTTTCGTTTGTGTAATATTCGGTGATCTTCTGTTATCCATGGCGCCGTCACTTAATTCAAGTTATTTGTGGGCGTTTCACTTTACCTTTCATCTTATGCCGATTGCCACACCATTTTCAGAGATGTCACATTCATCATTACATTTTCGTGCTAGTATACAGTCGCACTTTCTTGCACTGAAAGCGAAATAAAATAATTTGCTGAGGATTCTTTCGCCGTGTCAGGCATGCAGTGTGACTGAGGCGAGTGTTGTGTGACTGGACATATAAGCCACGTTCCTGAACAATTTGACACTGTTGGTGGTTTTCACTTATCGCGGTTTTTTCTTCGTTATTCTGCACTTTTGAAGAGATATAGGAGTGTTGCGAAAAAAAAAAAAACATGGACGAAGAAAGGCAAGTATTCAGGACGGACGCAAACTTCATCGACTGTATTTGAGAAAGAGGCGAGTATCAAAATGAACTGTAATTACAAAGAGCTGTTTCGGCTTTGTGAATTACATATGAAGTTTCCGCCTGTGCAGTGTACTTGCGTTCATTTGTCGGTGCTTTTTCGTGTATCACTGCTGTGTGAGTTCAAGACTCCACCGACTAGCCCAAACAAGATCTTCATATCGCGTGCTTGCTTTCTTTTTCTTCACAGCTATGGATGCCTAATTATGGAGGCCTAGATGAGGTCTCCAAGATGGGACCTTCCGAAAGTGCCTCGCACGCGGTCCTTTTCTACACAGCTCAATCATAACACAACGAAACAGTGCCTTAGTAAAGAATCGAAGTCGCTTTCCGAGTGCCATGGGTCTCAAGACAACGGAACGGCCACCGACCCCGGGATTCCTCGACTGTTCACCCAAGACTCTCGCTGAGGTACTTGAACCATCTCCTGCCCGGCAGGACCGAAGCGTACCTCATTATTCCATGCTGCAGGGAAGCGGCGCCGGAGGTAAGCTATAGATGCCAATTTTCACCAACTGTGTAAATGTCGTTTTTGCTGGTGCCGTCTGGTTTTGTTTGGGTGCCCGATGTACCAAGAGTCCGCCCGTTGTGTCAAATGGTAAATAAATTGCGAGCTTAGCGGAGGAAAGTGCGAACCCTCGACCACCGTCTGCTAGGAAACGAGTATTGTGTGTGCGTGCGTGCGTGTGTGTGTTTGCGTGAGCGTGGTGGTTGCGTGCATAACAAGAGAGCACTGCTCTGCATTTTGCCCGTGAGAAGCACCAAGCATTTAGCATCCGCTTGTTCAATACGACATACGTATTGACGTTGTGACCTCGTAATATACTTTATCGTATGGCTAAAATCAAAGAGAGACAAACAAAATCCATCCGGCCTCCTGAATGTGGTTAAAAATTTCAGAAAAAGAAAGGAGACCAGTGTTTGTTTATCTGGTTGTCGTGAAGTCATAGAATCCACAGTTTCGGAGTGAGAATAAATCGTTCAGTGAACCACAATTGCTAAGTTATTTCTTATTTCCGCGGTAGCACCGATTTACAATAAAGCGGCATTCCTGATTATCCAGATGTATATGATATCTTTCCGGAAAGTTCTCACACATGCGAAGCATAACTAGTTTAATTTATTCCGTTATCTTGGCGATGATAGCGGCCTTTCTTGGCATCCGCTCTTGAACATTGCAGTGACAAAATGTCTATACGCCGGGCTATCTGTTATAGTCAAATGTAATGGAGCTCACTGTGATTGCATCGCTCGTTATCCTCTTAATCTGGCCATCTGTTTTATGGCTGTCTTCTTTCTTCGTTTGATGATCTGTTTCTATAGTCTACCCTCTGCGTTTGTAGCTACTTCAGCATTATCGACCTCGTATCTGCTCTTTTCTCTTCCACCAGTACTCTGCAGACGACATCATGGGTGTCTTTGTGTGCCATGCTGTAGCCGTCCCGTGGTGTAAATAAACGAAAAATGCGCGCGCTAGACGCGTACGCAAAAGCGGTTGGATTGCCCCGCCGCGGTGGTCTGGCGGCTAAGATACTCGGCTGCTGACCCGCAGGTCGCGGGATCGAATCCCGGCTGCGGCGGCTGCATTTCCGGTGGAGGCGGAAATGTCGTAGGCCCGTGTGCTCAGATTTGGGTGCACGTTGAAGAACCCCAGCTGGTCGAAATTTCGGGAGCCCTCCACTACGGCGTCTCTCATAATCATATGGTGGTTTTGGGACGTTAAACGCCACATATCAATCAATCAATCAATCAATCAATCAATCAAGCAATCAATCAATCAATCAATCAATCAAAAAGGGTTGGATTGGCGTATTCGATGTTTCACGTCGCTATGTGCAAATATAAGAAAAAAGTTTGTTTGGAAGACCAATATGGCAGTGCCCAGATGTCTATACGTGAAATTGCCCGCGAAAGTCTCACGCTTTCCACGACATCTCACCAATGAACACTTGCCTAAGCTTCGATGTACACGTTCTTAAACTGCGAGAAACGCCGAGAATTCTAGGAAAGAAAATACGCGAAACATCACGGTCGTGTACGAATACTGCCTCAATATTGGCTATTTTTCGGACGTCGACTTCAGCCATCAACCAAATAGCGCGCCAGAACGTGGTGATCTTTGAATCACACCGCTTCTTCACCCCTAACCGAGCATCAGACGCGTTATTCGAAGGTCGCAGGTTCGTCAAATGTCAGTGGCAAGTTATCTTTACTTGCACTTTACTTTCGTATTTAGTTCCTAATTATTTGAAACTGGCATCTCCTATTTCTTCTTGGCTTTATGTTCTATTTCTTTCTGTTCTATTTAACTTTGTGTTCAGCAGAGAAAAACGAGCCCCCTACCGATGGATGGATGGATGGATGGATGGATGGATGGATGGACATGGCTGTACCCTTTAGATCGGGCGGTGGCTAGCGCCACCAAGCCGTAATACCACCGCCTCGTACCAGTGCCATCTAGCGAGTGATCCGCGAACCACCAGTGCTTTACATTTTCGATCGCATCGTTTCATGTTAACAGCTACCTACAACCGAACGCAGATTAAAGGTGCTTGAAACTGCAAATGACAGCACCCCGCGTTCGGTGCAGAAACGTCGCGGCGACAATTTGTTTTGCGCAACCTCGAACCCGGTGTGCTAACGCGGAACGGGAAACAGGGAGGAAAAATGAACTAACAGAAAAAAGTCCATTCCGCTTTTCATTGATCGAAACCAGCCTCGCATGGCTTCTCGGGTAGCTTGGCGGTGAGTGAGGCCTCTCGCTCGCGCTGCTCGGCTCTGCCCCGAGGCGCCGGTGTTCGGCGGAGAAGCGTGCCCTCCAACTCGAGGTGGATCACCGGATTTCCATGCGGCTGTGAGTGTACTCGAGCTTCGCTTTCTCTTCGCGTTGCACCGCAAGCGAACAAACCACCGTTCATTCGTACACAATTCCTGGCTTTCTATTAACAGTTCGCATGACGGCGTACTGCCTTATTGGATATGTGTGCCGTGCTGCGTGCATTGTGTAGTATTGTGCGGGTTGTTCCTCGTACTCGACGAAAGTTGAACGGTTACAGCTCGTTAATCTCGCTACAGTGTGAAGGTGGTCGCGTACGTTGCACCGAAGCTTTTAATGGAGTTAACACTTCACGACGGGCACAGTGTGAAGGTGGTCGCATATGCTGCACTGAAGCTTCGAATAGAGTTAACACTTCACGACAAGTGCGTAACTGTGTAGTGATCCTTCTTTTTTATATTTTCCAAGTTCACAAGGTGTTTACGCTTGCCAGACGGTGCAACTAAAGCTTGGCCCGCCGCAGTGGTTAACGGTGCTCGTCAGCTGACCCGAATGTCGCGAGTTCGAATGCCGGTCATTGAAGCTGCACTTTGATGAAGGCAAAATGTCGGAGGCCGCGTGCGCTTAGATTTAGGCACACATTAAAAAATAAATAAATAAAAGCAGGTGGTCGAAAAAATATCTGGAGCTACGGCACGTCTCATAAACACATAGTCGTTCCGAGAAGTAAAGCTTCCAACAATTATATTAGCTCGAACGTGAACCTATAAGATTTGATTACTTCATTCAGTAGATATCGTCCAGCAAAAAGTAACCACAGTATACGCTTCACATGCGTAGTTTATTCGGCAGCGATAGACCCAGTGCCAGAAGCAACGTCATCAGTCGGAAGCCGTCGAAACTTCGAAAAGAACTTTATTCTGTGGCCGCCACCGGTACCCACGTGTCAGTGTGCCACGGGATTGCTCGAAGTCACGTGCGTGAATTGATAATTTCACTGACACAGCAGCGACATCGGTAAGATAGAGCGATTCAGTGCGATATATATACCCTGCCCTCATCAAACGCGTTTTTTTTATAATTTTAAAGCTTGATTGATATGTGGGGTTTAACGTCCCAAAGCCACCATATGATTATGAGAGACGTCGTAGTGGAGGGCTCCAGAAATTTCCACCACCTGGGGTTCTTTAACGTGCACCCAAATCTGAGCACACGGGCCTACAACATTTCCGCCTTCATATATAATTTTAAAGCTAGCTTTGCTGCGATGCAGCTTGCTCAGCTGATAGCCGGGTTATCATTTCGGCAGAATAAGCACGATTTGCTCGCCCTGTGTCGTCGTAGAAATGAGATGTAAACATGTTTGCTTGCGCTGTCACATTGAAATCGTAAACTCTGCTACCCTGATGCACAAGCATACAAATACAACAAGCTCACGTACGTGCAGTCAGATAGGAACTTCGGTTAAACCAAGACAGCAGCCACCATTAATAGATGGACAATGTTCAGTGCAGATAAACGTGTTTGTAGGTTGGAAGAAGTGTCTGCTGAAATGTAATTGTTTATTCAGTGCTATTGCGGAGAACGTGTCGGTCGGGCTGTTTTCAGCCTTGAAAACTCGCAGTTGGGTAATCGTGCATCGTGCATCGCCACCTTAGCCTCTTGTGAGTGAGTGGAAACACCGAATCCCCTCTGTGCGGATTCCTGCTCTTCCGATCGGCGAACTAAGGGAACACACCGAAATACTATTGATTGTGGCATTTCGGCAGCTTCTTATGTACGTATTTGTTCACAATACGATACCTTACAGGCATGTAGAAGGGCATTGGCTAAAGGGGATAACGGTAAAAAGACTATAATGCCGAATAAAAAGGTGAAAAAAATTAAGGCAGCTTCCCACCAGAGTTGCCGAACCTGAAGGAAGTCCAGAGCTGGGTTTTTCTTCTCGCTTTTTTATTTTCTTTTCCTCCTGTCTTTCTTTGCTTACTTTTCTTTTCCAGTTTCTTCTGTTGTTTTTCTCTTTATTTCTATTTTCTTCATATCCCCTCCCCCACTCTTCTTTTTCTCTCTTTCTATTTCTCGCTTGCTTCCTCTGTTGAAATATTTATGCGCGGTTTCGCCTGCGTTACGCCGAGCCATGACAGCATAAGATAGCCCGGGCCCTCTAAAGTGACGTCACCATCAAAGCGTCCGAAGAACGAGAAAAAAAAAAAAAAGAAGGCTTCTCTTCGGAGCGAGCCCGTGCGCTCATTAGAGAGTTTTAGTACTGCGTACGCTGCGTACGTGGCCGCGTTGCGTACGTAAGGACGCCACGTTCTGCATAGTGCGCATGCGCAGACCGCAACGCGCACGTATCGCGTTACGTACGCAGCCGCTACGTACGCACGCATGAGATGCGTGCGTGCGTACGTATGAGCTGATCGCGCCGCTCTCGAACAAGTTCGCGAAAGCGCGAGACTTCGTTTTGCAAAATGGCGGCATCGAAGGCAAGCACCGACCGGCTCTGTGGCTTAAAAATATGGCCATAATCTGGCTATAACACTTGGATTGGCTCACATTGGCTGTCAACAACACGTGCTTCTATTTTGATCTACCAGATGACGCAACACGCTTCACGCTCGTTACGTGCGCGGGTACTACGGCGTACTAAAAGCCGATTAGTGGCAAACGATGCCACGTAACGCAAGGCGCTTGCGTGATGCGTACGTAGC